CTCAACTCACAATAAAAAAGAGTGTCATAAGTAGTGAAAATCTTTATAATGAGCTGATTCTCTGCAAACTTGGTTGGCATTGCTAATTTAGATAGGTTGTGTTTTTGTGTATGTGTGTTTCTATCTTTGAGTACAGCACAGGCAACAAAATTGGGTGCACATGTACACACACCACAGTGTGTGTGTGTTTGTGTGTGTGTGTGTGTGTGTGTGTGAGAGAGAGAGAGAGAGAGAGAGAGCGCTTCAAGCACAAATGAATAGAAATTGCAATTTGACAGTTGACTTCTCTCTTTTTTCTCTCTCCCCCCTCCCCTCGCCTTCTTCTCTTTCCTGTTCTGAAGCTGCTATTATGGTTGGGAAAACATTTATGCAAAGCGCTCAGAAATGTGCCTTGCTCTGCTGCCCATCCAATTTCTTATTTTCTCTGATAGAGTCTCATTTCAATGTAATAATATTCCCCAACAACAACAAAAAATGAATAGCACAGGGATTGATAGCTCGACACAAGTTACTTGGTTCCAGAACATACAAGGCGCTATTAATCCCAGCCAAAGGAGATGATGAAAATGGGCTGGGCCAAGTGGAATGAAGAGGGCAGAAAGCTGGCTTGCCTGTGTTTAAGATGTCTACAAAATTATCCATTTGGAGGAAATGGTTGTGGCAAACTGAGTGTGCACCCAATTTTTTTTTTTTAATATAGCTGTTCCCATTCACTTCCCCTCCCACTGTCCCAGTTTCAAACTCATTTTCCAGCTAGGACTTCAAAATGGCTTGCAAATACCTATTTGGCAGCATGCATTTATACATACGCAGTCTCCCAACAACAGACTAACCAAACACAGATCTACTTAGCAATCTCCTGTGTGTTAAAACCATGTCCTTGGACTGAAACTCAACAAAATCAGAGGGAGGGGGGACCCTGTGCAAAGAAAGTCATGAAACGCTAGGGATGTGCACCAGATTCAGCCAAGTCCTGAGCCAAATTGTACCTCTTTGAAGGGACTCAAAGGCCAGAGGATTCAGTTTCAAACAGCCATGGGTTGCTTTAGGTTGCGCTGGATGGTCCAGTGTCTGTGGCTGTCAGGGTACAGGGCAGGAAAACACATGAAAAAGCCGACTGATTGCTAGCTGGGTCTTCTGGGAGAAGGAAGGCATAACTTCATGTCTGCCTGATGCCTCCACCAACCTCCACCCCAGGATCATTCTCTCTGCTCAGCAGCTGTTGATAGGAAGGAGCAATCCTGCAGCTTGTGTTTGATGCGATTCTTTGCAAACAGCTTTCCTTTAGGAAAAGCTCAGGACTCATGAATGCCATTGGTATGCAAGCTGGGGGCTGGGAGTCCAACCAGTGGAGGACCACAAGTTCCCCATTCCAGATCGAGACCATTCACCTTTCAATCCTATGCATGCCAATTCTGGAATAAGCCACACTATGTTTAATGGGGCTTACTACCAGGTAAGTGTACACCTGGTTCTACCCTTGGCACGTTGCAGGCCAAAGGGCCGGTGGTTTGCATTGCACCTTGGAGCTGTTTATAGGCAATCTTGGGGAAGAAATAACACACCAGCACGGATGGAACTTTCTCTGAAGGCAGTTTCCATGCCAACCTTCTGTCCCACAAAATACACTTTTTAAATGTGCTAGAATTTCAAACACAATGTTGGAGGATTTTGGGGGTGAGGAGGAAGAACTGACGAAATGTAATTAATTAGAAATGTGCAGTGCCTTTCTTTTTTTCCCAAGCCCCCGGACAATGCAAATTTGTCAAAGCAGGGCAATATTTTTATACAGTAGGCTAGGAGCTCAACCCTATACAGTAGCCATTTTGACTCCATGTAGCAGATTGAGCAGATCATTTTCTCCAAGCATCTGGATTTTGTGCCCATGCCCTGTTAACAACTATCCCTTCCTTGCCACCCCCCAAATACTAGGAAAATTCATTTGTTTTTAGGCAGCATTGCTCAAATAAATAAATAAAAATAACCCTGTGGTGATCAAAAAGCTGCAGATCTGTTCAGAGTGCTGAATTTAGCTTCTGGCAGGAGGGTGAAGCTAGCTGGTGACCCTCGCAGCTGAGGGTCATCCTTTTTCCTTCCCACTCTTCATTACTGTGGTCCCCACAGACAGGAGAACTTGCAGCTCTGAAAGCCTCTGGCACACAGTTAGATGCAACTTACTAATGAAACAGTCAGGGAGAGACGTGTCTTGGCATTAAGTAATTACTGTCAAGGAACAGGGCACAGAGCTGGAACACAGGCTTGAACATCAAACTAATAGCCGCAGTCTTGCCAATTGATAAGTTAGGTAAAAACTGAGGAGGCAGTGAGGGCAATGGATTTGATTTATCCAGCATTGAAGGCTTACACTCTGGCCTACCTCTACCCACTCTATCCCCCCTGCTCAGTTGTCTGGAAGAAGAAGAAGGTCCAAAGGAACCCATTGTTATAAGAACCCCATTAATGAACACCTGGAAGATCTCAAAGCTCAGTTGGGAAGGAGCTTCTCCAAATCAGTTCTTTGGAGCACAAGAACCCTGCTGGATCACGCCAGCGGCCCATCTAGTCCAACATCCTGTTTTCTGTGGCCAACCAGATGCCTATGGGAAGCTTGTAAGAGAACAACAACAACCGAAGTTTCCAGCAATTGGTATTTGGGGGCTGTCTCTGATGGTGGAAATAAAATATAGTCATTTAGACTGAAATTCAGATGATACTTACTTTACCACAGATGACTAACCAGGAGGACCAATTTTATATTGTAAACAGCGATATGATCCTCAGATGAAGGGTAGTATAGTAAGTAAGTAAATCTGGCCCCACCAAAAAACCAACTTCAGAACACTGGTTTTCAACCTAAATAACTCTTGTCACTGGAAAAGACTCAAGGCCAAGCACCACTGAAAACTCACCTCTTGCTCTTCTTGGACTATGTTAGCTCTTTCTGGCTGTTCCAGTATTTGGTTGGAGCTTAAAGAAAAACCCTTCCTTCGCTGCAGCATGTTATGGCCCCCTCTAGATAAACAGCCAGCTGCCCACAGACCTTTGGAATCTGCCTTATTTGGGCCCAACTCCCCAACTCCTGGCAGGTGTTTTCCAGGACAGTGGATTGCAAATTGAAATGTGTGTGCATGGGGTTGCTGCTGGTGGTGAGCATAAGCCTGAGCCCTGCTTAGCAAGAAATTCTCTGAGTTAGATGATGACTGAAGGATGACAGGTACCTAATTTAAAACAGGTGTGCAGCTGCCAAGGCAAATATCTCATTTATGTGACAGGCATTGTGTGAAGCCTGGAACTCAAGAGTTTGTTTCTGCTGAGGTGTTTTAAAGCAGTTAAAATGGCAAAATGGCAACACAGGCAAAGGTTCTGCGCTAGCTACATGGAGTTGAAAAAAAATCAGCTTCATTGTTCAAGCAATTCACAAAATAGGGGTGTGATTTATTCCCATTTTGCAGGATTTGGGGTGCTGTTGTTTTTCAAGGGGTTGGGGATGGCTTTGGGCAATCTCTGATGCTTATCCTGGTGGATTAACTAACGCTGAAGTTCCTGGAAGCTTGACAAGCTCAGTACAGTGTGGGGCTGGCAGCAGAGCTGATCCAAGACTCCTGCCACCATGCTCACACCATAGTGAGTTCTCTGCACCTCACGCCGTCTCCTTTTCATGCTCAGGAACCAGCAGTGATGCTCATTGTTCAGAAGGCCATTAACCTGCACTGCCGTACCTGTCCCACCCTGCTGATTTCTACTGGTTGGCTGGACCAGTGGTCTGACATAGTATAAGGCAGCTTCCAATGCTCTTATGTTCCTGTATAGACTACCGGTGATGGAAAACTGAGGCTGAGAAGCAAACAACATGGTAAAGATCAACCTAGTCCATGCCAGAATGACAACCAAGTAGGGATGCAAACCTACTTAAATCACACATTCTGAAATGCACTCATCCTTCAAATTCCACACTTCTCCAAATTTGGTGATGCTGTTTTCCACCCCCACCTCCAAAAAAGTGTACAAAGTGTGTTTATTAGTGGAAGGTGTGCATTTAAATGCTTAGAAGTGTGTAGTTGGCAAAACTGTATGCAACATGTGTCTGTTTGGAGAAATGTGCATTAAAACGCTGACAAAAATCATGAACCAATGCTGGTGTGGTTAACTGGACAAAAGGCTGGAAAAGTGAGAAACTAGGCGAAACCAAAATTGACATATTTGTTCATCCCCACAACCTAAGGCTGAGGGAGAATATCAGGTTATATCCAAATGTGTACTTGGAGTAGACCCATTGAAATAACTTATTCATGCTTAGTCATTTTAATGCGTCTATTCTGAGTAGGACCAACATCGGAGACAACCCAACCTTTCACAATCCTCCCTTGTATTGGAGTTTGCTGGATCAGGCCTATGGCCCATCTAGTCCAGCATTCTCTTCTCACAATGGCCATGCAGATGCCTCTGGGAAACTGGCGAGCGGTTTCCTGTGGTTTTCAGGAATTGGTATTCAGAAGCATTAATACATCTGAATCTTGTGGAGAGAATGTGAACGGCCATTACACTGAATATTTTAAGGGTAGAAGGCAGAATTCTCCAACAACTGGGTGAGTGAGGTGGGAGAAGAAGTGAAAAAGATAAACAACAACAACAACAACAACAAATACTATAATACTTGTGATATCCTCACCTTGCAATGTGACCTCTGCCCTGGTGATGTAGGAAAACATCTGCTGTTTGTCTGTTAATTTCCCAAACATTTCAAAAATAATGATATCCATCACTCCCGTTTGGTCTACAATGCATATGAATTGTATCAGGCAGCTTTGCTAGGAGCTCAACCATTTCCAGATAGAAATTAGCTGAGCCCTCTATTCTTTCTACTGTAGGGATTTGAATGATGCTATTATCCTAGATGCAGCAGGTGCCAATAGTCTGCAAAAACATGAATTGCCATGATTATGAGTAGAAGTACTTGGGAATTATTATTTTTTTTAAAAAAAGAAGATAAATAACAAATGGGAAGATAATTTATTCATTAAAAGAAGGAGAAGAAGGCACAAATCTGCTTGTCTTGTTATTCCTTGCATTGGAGCGGCAGGCTTTATTTCCTTCAGATGTTACAGGGCATCGTCCTGGTGCTGATGGGATGCTGGTGTCCTACACAGCTTCTACAGTATGTGTGCATCCCTTGTTAAGTACAATTGTGCCTTTCCTGCAAAAGACAGACATCTCATTGGAAGCAACAGAATGGGAGTCTGTGCTCAGGAGGATGAAACTTCAGTCATTCCAAAACTTCATTGTTCTTTGCATAAGTTCATAAGAAAAGTCTGCCAGATCAGGCCAATGGCCCATCTATTCCAGCATCCTGTTTGAATAGTGGTTACCCAAATGTCTATGGAAGACCAGCAAGTAGGACCCAAGCACAACAGCACTCTCACACAATACGTAACTAATTGTTGCCACCCCCCACATACTGTTGTATTGCATTTCCTTTGCAGTGAAATAAATGGGGTGAAATTACATAATGGCAATGTAAGTTATGTAAGTTCCGTAATATTATTTATTATTTATTATTTATTATTTATTATTTATTATACTCTGCCCATCTGGCTGGGCTTCCCCAGCCACTCTGGGCAGCTTCCAACAAAATATTACAAAAGCTTCCCTAAACAGGGCTGCCTTCAGATGTCTTCTAAAAGTCTGGTAGTTGTTGTTCTCTTTGACATCTGGTGGGAGGGCGATTCACAGGGCAGGTGCCACTACCAAGAAGGTCCTCTGCCTGGTTCCCTGTAACTCGGCTTCTCGCAGTGAGGGAACCGCCAGAAGGCCCTCGGAGCTGGACCTCAGCGTCTAGGAAGAACGATAGGGGTGGAGACGCTCCTTCAGGTATACTGGGGCGAGGCCATTTAGGGCTTTAAAGGTCAGCACCAACACTTTGAATTGTGCTCGGAAACGTGCTGGGAGCCAATGTAGGTCTTTCAGGACCATAATCTTGCCACAGCAGACAATAAGAAGAATAGAGTGGTTTTGTGGCAGGTGAACTGCAGAAGAATGAAAGCAGTTCTGCATAAGGCAAATGCAGGGCAGAATGGAAAAGAATTCATTCTCACATCATTAGCCAATAGCTCCCTCTCTCGAATGACTGTTTTGACTACAAATTTGAATTTGAATTGGAAACCAATATATTTAAAACTCAAGAGTCCCTTTAAGATGTTTCATATCAAACAAGACAGTCAAGAATGCTTTAACTTTGGTATACAGGACTCAAGCTTCCTTTGCTGACAGCACAAATTTTGACAATCTCAGAGGAACAAAACCTCGCTTTCAGGAACTTTTTGCTGGATTCCACCCATAATTTTCTGCAGGTGATCAGCCAAAGTGAAGCAATGTGCTGAAGGCTCATATGTTCCAGTAGCACACCTTTATGCAGGCAAGGTCCAAGATAAGGAGCAATAATAAAATATCTGGACAAAAGAGTGTAAAGTTCAACCTGCCATAATTTATCACAGCGAGTTTAAGAAAGAAGGTGACACAGTGTTCAGGGCCCAAACTGTCAGCCGCCTGAAATGATGGCTTAGCTGGAATGACTTTCCTCCATTCCATTTTGTGATTAAAGGAAATACAGAAGATGAGCAGGTAATGAAACTTGAGCACTTGCCTGCCCTCCCCCCCCCCCCGAAAAAAGAGAGAGGATAGATGAGCAAGTTCCATTCACACAATCCTCCCTTTCTCATAATTTGGGATGTAAGGAGAACTCCTTTTTCGTTCCAACCTACATCCATTGCATGCACTGCAATTAAGGTTCCACGAAAGCAAGCTTATTTGGTGCGCTGTTTGTTGTGGTTAGATTTAAGAATGTAATTAAGTCCCTTCCCGTTACATCATTCCAAGTTTAAGTTCAGTTCTCCCCATTTCCAGATCTGTTTGTCATTGTTTTGTTTTTGTTTTTAAATCCTTTGAGATAAATTGTAGCCCTGCCAGTCAGAACAGACAGTTGCAGGCTATGTGGACCAATATGGTAAGGCAGCCTCATATCTCCCAAGTGATGCACAGTTAATCCGATTGCAGATAATAGTATGCCTACAGTGTGCAGCAGTGGTTCAGATCTGCATTTTGAAAGATCTCATCTCTGCCCTTTTAGATGCATGTCTTACCAGCGTGCATGAAGAAAGAAATACCAATGGAAGTAAAGACACATGTGGGGAAAGTGTGCTACATGCACTTATTGGCACATTTATTTGCCTTTATACTCCTACGGCATTCATGGCAGATTTGAAAACTGGCCTTTGAAGAGCTTTTCCTTCAGTTAATTAATGCTTTTATGGAGTATAGGACAACAAGTGATATTGACTATGTACTTCTTCCAGTGTTGGAGGCAATGTGGCGCTGAATACCAGCTGCTGAGAATCACACATGGGGAGAAGCCTCTTGTACTCAGGTCCTGCTTTGAGATTTCCCACTGAGGCATCTGGTTGGCCATGGTGAGAACAGGATTGTGGACTGGATGGGCCTTTGGCCTGAACCAACAGGGCTCTTTATGTTCTTGCGTTCTTTGTAGCACTGCACATTTCCACACATCTCAGGTAGTTAAGTAAATTGTTGTTGTTGTTGTTTAGTCGTTAAGTCGTGTCCGACTCTTCGTGACCCCATGGACCAGAGCACTCCAAGCACTCCTGTTTTCCACTGCCTCCCACAGTTTGGTCAAACTCATGCTGGTAGCTTCGAGAACACTATCCAACCATCTCGTCCTCTGTCGTCCCCTTCTCCTTGTGCCCTCCATCTTTCCCGACATCAGGGTCTTTTCCAGGGAGTCTTCTCTTCTCATGAGGTGGCCAAAGTATTGGAGCCTCAGCTTCACGATCTGTCCTTCCAGTGAGCACTCAGGGCTGATTTCCTTAAGAGTGGATAGGTTTGATCTTCTTGCAGTCCATGGGACTCTCAAGAGTCTCCTCCAGCAACATAATTCAAAAGCATCAATTCTTCGGTGATCAGCCTTCTTTATGGTCCAGCTCTCACTTCCATACATCACTACTGGGAAAACCATAGCTTTAACTATACGGACCTTTGTTGGCAAGGTGATGTCTCTGCTTAAATATCCACATGCTTTTTCCTAGCTTTAGAACTGTTGCAGTCTTATGGAGTTCAATTCTTCCCTGAACCCTATAACCACTTTTAGCCAGAGAAACAAGTCATTCAAGTCAAATGAGACTTAGCAGCATTAACTATAGGTTGCAAAAGACATACAGAAGAAGTAGAGACCGCAATGCTGAAATACGTTTCCTTTCTTTAGGAGGAGGGGAGTGAGAGAAAACACAGTCTTTGAAAGGCTCCAGAGTTGTAACCACAGCCGATACTTTAATTAGGCAATTAGAGCTATTAGAAGTCGACAAAGCTCCAGGCCCAGATGAATTACAACCAAGAAATCTGTCAGAAGAGGAACAGAAAGCCCTTGGCAGGATCTGTAACACTTTAGTAAGTAGATAGGAGAGTGCTGAAGAGGACTGAAGTAGCAACTGATACAATGCTCCCCACTCAAAACACACACTCACACACTGATTCTAAGAACGTTGAAAGCAGGAACCTAAAATTCTAAAGTGTAGACTAACTAAGGAAGGAGCAGCCAATGTAGTCACTCCAGCTCCCATCAATCCTGCCAACATGGCCATCAAGGATGATGGGAGGTAAAGTCCAGCTGCATCTGGAGGGAACCATGCTGGCTAACCTAGGAGTAGAGATACTAAGCTCAAAAGGGCAAATGCTCCTCTGTCTTGGAATATGGCAACATACTGTATTTTTAAATTGCACAGATCAGCAATGGATACATCAGATGGCAACTAAGAAGCATAAGGTTTTCTCCAAGCCCTACCTGCAGATGCTAGGGATAGAACCTGGGACCTTCTGCATGCAAAGCAGATGCCCTTCCAGTGAGCTACAGTCTCCCACCTGTCTCAATTTCATGAGAGAATGCAAGATGGAAATAAGCCTTTTCCATAATATGGGTAGGACCCAAACTCTACCCATTCACAAGAGGAACGGTAAGAGAGATAAGACCCTTTTTGAGAGTAGGAGGTCTGCAATCATTTCCAAAAAGTAGGAATAAAAGTTGAATAAAGCCAGTCATTGGTCTAATCTAGCTCTGTTGGTATAGCATGAAACTCTTTAATTCAGGTTGTGTGTTCAAGCCCCACACTACAAGCGTATGATTCTAAGAGGGATTTTCTAGGTCAGAGATAGCAAACATTATGCCCTCAGTATGTACTAGGATTACAACTCTCCCGAGCCTTAGCCAACATGGTCAATGGTTGTAGATGATGGATGTCATCTGCACCATTCCATGTTGGCTTCTCCTGAATTAGAGCATGTTAGCATTTTCAAAGGATGAGTGAACACATTCAGAAGTTCACAGGCCAGTTCATCATTCCACATTCTTTGGATCAGATTCGGACTGAGCCAAAATGACTCACATTTCCCTGCAATTTCCTCCGCGCTTCGATCAAAATGTGTCACTTTCCCAGAAATGTTTGGCACCCCTCTTCAATATGTTTGGAATGACACTCTCTCCAGGAATCCTTCAATCTGTTTCTTGGATAGTCTACAGTGTAGCTTTCATCAGCTTCAATCATATGTTTCTGCACAGCAAAACAGTTGGAAGCAGAAATGCTTCTGAATACCAGTGGCTGGAAACCGCAGGAGGGAAGAGTGCTCTTTTGCTTGAATCCTGCTTGCAGGTTTTCCACAAGCCTCTGGCTGGCCACTGTGAGAACAGGATACTGGATTGGATGGCAGAGGCAGAGTTGCATCTGGCTCAGGAGGAGGAGGAGGAGGAGGAGACACAATGAAGCTGTAGTACAAGGAGAGTTTTGAAAATGTTGGGCCTGTGGCGGTGGGCAAGGGTGTATCATTCAATCTCCAGGCAGCCAAATGTCTTCACAAAGACCACATTTCAAGTGGGAATCATAAAGAGCTTCAATTGGGGTAGCAATTGTCACATCTGCACTATACATTTAAAGCAGGATCATACCACCTTTACAATCATAGTTCCCCCCAAAGAATCCTAGGAATTGTCATTTGTTAAAAGCATTTGTGAACTCTTGTAGCCTTCTCAGAACCAACTGCTTGGCCACTGTAGGAAGCAGGATATGGACCACATGAGCCTTTTGGATCCAGCAAAGCTCTCCTTATAAGTCTCTCTAACAGTGAACTTGATTGATGCTTTTGAATTATGGTGCTGGAGGAGTCTATTGAGAGTCCCATGGACTGCAAGATCAAATCTATCCATTCTTAAGGAAATCAGCCCTGAGTGCTCACTGGAAGGACAGATCGTGAAGCTGAGGCTCCAATACTTTGGCCACCTCATGAGAAAAGAAGACTCCCTGGAAAAGACCCTGATGCTGAGAAAGATTGAGGTCACAAGGAGAAGTGGACGACAGAGGATGAAGTGGTTGGACAGTGTCCACGAAGCTACTAACATGAGTTTGACCAAATTGCCGGAGGCAGTGGAAGAAAGGAGTGCCTGGTGTACTCTGGTCCATGGGGTCACAAATGACTAAACAACTAAACAACAACAACAACAACAGTGAACTTGGTGGTAAGTGCAGGCTAGTGGAATAGGGCCACTAAAGAACCAGAAGAAAAGTTCTGGAGGGGGGCGGCATCTGCACTATACATTTAAAGGGATATCATACCACTCTAAACAGCTGTGGTTTCCTCCAAAGAATCCTGGGTTCTGTAGTTTGTTAAGGGTGCTGAGAGTTAGGTGACCCAAGTTCCGGTCACAGAGCCCACAGAGTGGGAACAAACAATGCCACTTCCCGGGGAACTCTGGGAATTGCTGCTCTGTGAAAGGACAAGGACTCTCCTAGCAACACTCAGCACCCTTAACAAACTACAGCTCCCAGGATTCTTCTGGGGAAGCCCTGACTGCTTAAAGTGACACGACACAGCATTAGATGTATTGTTCAGATGTGGCCCATATATTTCAGGGAATGTTATGCATACCTACGTTGGGGTTCTTTGGAGGAAAGGCAGACTTTGGTAATAAAAAAGGAGCTTCAAGAGAAGCAGGATGGGTTGTATTGATAAGTCTAGTTATATTTCTGGAACAGGCAGAGATGGGGAGAAATTTGCCTGGTTTGCATCTTATTTATTTATTTAGATCCTATCCCACCCCTCCTCCTAAAGGAGCCCAGGCCTTTAATATGAACTTACCAAATTTGCACTTTCTGACCTGAGCCAAAGCAAAGCACAGCTCACCTATGAATTTCACATGTCTCTGGATTTTGTGAAATAGTAGTAATCTAACCAAAGAATGCATACAGAGATGTGCATATCAGTGAAGACTTCAGGCAAATAAAAGTGTGCAGAATACTGTAATAAACTAGAAAAATGCATTCTGCTATGGGAAGTTGATTACAAAAATGCACATGAGGGACAAAATTTTGTCTAAAAATGTTTCTGTTCAAGGAAACACACACATAAATGCATACAAATTTTCACATTGACATTTAAAAATAATAACCACAAATTGATGCAGAACAAAATTTAAGATTGGAAAGGGGAGAAACGGAAACTGACAGAGTCCTGTCAATGGCATGTTATGCACTTTGAGGAGTATTGAAGGCTACATACTTCAGTGCCCCTGCTTTGAGGTGGGTGTGTTATAAAAGGCTTTAAAAAATAAACCAAGTGGGGGCAGAGCTACACAATCACTTAGGCAGAGTTGTCACTTAATGACTTTCAAATATAATTAAAAACATATTCTAATATAAGGTTCCCTGCCAATGTCAAAATATGTTCCAGCCAAGTGAAATTAACCTTCAGAAGCTACTTTAATCACAACACTGTGGTTCTCTCCCATCTGCCAGTCATTGATGCCTCTCCACCTGAGCCCTGTTCATCTACCTTAGTGCCAAAGGAAAAGAACAATGGATCGCACCTTGGTGGCTAATGCAAGGCATAAGCACAACAACAACAAAGATTTATCATGGACTAGTGGCCAGAAATCAGTATGCTAAAGACCAGATACTACAAATAGTTTCACGTGACATTTCATGGAGGATAAGACTATCAATGGCTAGTAGTCATGATGACTATGTTCAATCTCCATGCCTGATATGAAGAAATTGGATACAGAGAATATTTTCCCCCATTCCCTCTCTCATAATACTGGACCTCGGGATCATCTAGTGAAGCTGAACACTGGAAGATTCAGGAGAGCCAAAGAAAACACTTCTTCACACACGCATAGTTAAACTATGGAGCTTGCTCCCACAGGCTGTAGGTATGGCCAGCATGCTAGATTAGAAGATTAGACAAATTCATGGAGGAGCTATCAATGACTGTTAGCCATTATGGTTATGCTCTATCAGTGCTTCCCAGACTTGGGTCTCCAGCTTTTTTTGGACTACAACTCCCATCATCCCTAGCTAGCAAGACCAGTGGTCAGGGATGATGGGAATTGTAGTCTGAAAACAGCTGAAGACCCAAGATTGGGAAACACTGCTCTACCTCCACTGTCAGAGGCAGTATGCCCCTGAATACCAGTTGATGGGAATTACAAGCGCAGAAAGTTGCTGTTGCACTCAGGTCCTACTTGGGGGATCTGGCTGGCCACTATGAGAACAGGGCGCTGGGCTAGATGGGCTTGAACCTGATCCAGAAGGGCACTTCTCATCTTAGAAAGGACCCTGGTTAAAACACTAGGCAATTAGTCTGCTCACCTTTTCTGGTGTCCAGCGTTGCAGCCAGGCATCTGGTCCCCTGCAGTGATTCAGCGGTGGGGGGGGGGGAGATTGATGCCCCCCTTGTTGCTGTCCTGGCTGTGTCACTGGTACTGGGCAGGCCCCTGCCCAGGGGTGGTTGGAGGCGTGGCAGCGGGAATTTAAACTGTGACATGACCGAGGAGCCCTCCTCTCTCTCCCATTGCCAGATCTCCCAACCCACCCTCTTTTTTATGCTTTGCTATAACATGACCTTGCTATGGACAAATGTCGGCCGCCATATTGTTTTTTCCACTTGGCAAATTTGCACCAGTCATTTGGTTTTCGCCTACCTTATAGCAATCGTCACAATCCTTTTAAAGGGCTCTGGGGGTGTGGATTCTCTCTGATGCCCAGATGTGGGCTAGCGCCATGCCACGACCCCAACAGAGACCCCTATGGGTGCCCCTATTTGATGTAAGTTATAGGGCTCCCCCTATTGGTTGTTTACCCTTAGATGGACTCCCTGCAGACGGGCAGGAGTCAAGATATAGCCTGGCTTCACCCAATCCCTAAGCCAAACCACTCCCAAAGCCAAACCACTCCCATATGTAGCCAATAAAGTTGTGGCCTATTTGAACCCATAAACCTAAATACTTCTGTCCATGTGTTTATTATCCACTAGGGTACTGCGGGTCACGGGGCCTTGGCACGCAACAACAATTACCAGAGTGAGCAGCAGGCAAGATGGGTAAATGGCTTCCCACAAGATATACTACATTTCATGGGAAGCCAAAAGAGCTTTGATAAAAGTGGTGGAACGTCTGTGTGTGTCCTCACTTATTCCAAAAAGAACACCTTGGGATCCCTTGTGGAATTTTCATGCAGACCTCTCCTTTGATGAATGCCCTTTGACAGCCAGAATAAGGAGACAAGCTGAACTCAATTGCGCACAAATTAAAAGCCAGCCACACGCACTGTGTATCATATACTGTGAGTTGACGGAAATTATCATATAAGCAAATAATAAGCAGTATCCCTCTCCCCAAAGTGCAGCTATTCCTTATAATATCTTGCTGAAGTCAGCATGAAAGGAAATACAGCGAGCATGAATTTACGATGAAGACAGGTTGATTTGGTGTGAAAAAAGAGGTTGGTGAGGGAGGGAGCAGATGCTGCATTCCTGGAATTAAAATAATGACAACATAGGTTGATTGGTTCCTTTGGGGGGGGGGGGGAGAAGTTTGACTGTGATGAATGTTTGGCCTTATCTTGACTCTTAGCTGTAATACCATATATTGCTATTCAAAATAGGGTAAGATAATAACAACCTCTGAAGTGGTACTACAGAAAACTAACAGTGCTTCCATTCTAATAGCCCAAAGCCTCTCATTGTGAAATGAGGAATTCAGTAACTTATAAGGGTTTGGGGTGGGGGGAAGCTGTAGTTAAAAACATTTTTAGGGCAGCTGGGGGGGATTATTGGATTTGTAATTTAGCACATAAAAATTTTATCCTTTGCAACCCATCTAATGGAATTCTCCTTCTCTCCAACTTGGGTTCTCTGAATGATTGCAATATATCACGATGGACAATCGAAACAGGCAAGGCAAAGCAGAACTGCTCTCAGAATGCATTCATGAATCTCATTGTGATCCTGCTGATAGCATATGGTCCCTCTGAGTTTTATAAGAATGTTTGTGTGTGTAGATTGCACAGTTTATAATATCCTTACCTCTATCAGTGCTGTTTACAATGATAATTTTGGCAAAGCTGTTGCCTAACGACTTTCAAATATAATTATAAACGTATTTCAATATAAAGTGTGTTGCCAAAGTCAAGCATACACCAGCTAAGTGAAATTAACCTTCAAGTGATACTTGAATAACAGTAAACCACAAGGGTATGTAAGAGATTAGATATACTGTAGTCTAATTATGTTACAATAATTCACCTCATTAATCTCCTAGGAAACAATAACCACAACAGTTAAATGCTGTAATTAACAAACCCTATTTCAAACTTGATTTTAATTTTATACGACTTTGCAATATTATCTAGTGCAATTATATAAAAGACAAACAACAACAACAACCAAAAGAGATAAAGCAAATGTTAAGTTCTCTAGAGAAGACATCCAAAACAATCTGATGCCTTTAACCTGGGAGAAGGAAGAAAAAGTAGGCCAGGCATGCTTAGGAGATTTCTCGCCTTTAGAAAGCCTTGTCAATATGGAGAACGACGCCTTTTCATTCCCATTTGCCTCTCTGGAATCCAGAGCCAAAAATGGCAATGTTTCCCAAATGTGCAGTTTAGAAAAACCTCCTGCCCTTTAAGCAGTTTGATATTACAAGAGGATAGCTTTGAATTCATAACATTCAGATGAGGGCAGCAAAAGCAAAAGCCAATTCATTCTGTAGGTTGGCTGCCAATTACATTCCCAGAAAGATTTAAAGTGTTGATATTAGGGTCTGGGACCTGGGTGTTTGCCAAAGCACTGCATCCCATACCAAGCTGCCTGTTATTTAAGATCAGTGGTGGGAGGGGCTTTGGTGGTCCCCTCAACTGAGGATATATGAGCCTCCTCAGTATTCATTATGGAACAGGGCTGAGTTCAAATGTGCCTCTCCCCCATTTTTCTATCCTGGTGTTTGGGATGGTTCTTTCCCAAAACAGAACAATGGTGGCTCTTACTTGTGAATAAAGGAAGAGATATTCATGCAGGCTAGTAGCAGTACAGACTTAGCAACAAGAACAACATCCAGAAGATTCCAAGATGCACAAGCAAGGTGTCAGGGACTGGACTGAAGGGGACGGACAAGATGGAGGAGGAGGAATGGTGGAGATTGCCCCCTCTTCTCCTGATGCTTCCAGAGGAGAGGGAAGCAGTTTCGATTGGCAGCAGGGGTTTGAGGAGGGTCACAGCACAGAGACAGGTGGTGTTAGGAGGGGGGGTGAGGCAGAGCAGCCAGCTGACACGTTGTCACTGGTGAGTATTTCTGACCCCCCTTCTCCCAGAACTCGGTGTTTGCTAAGAGCGCAGGAACAAAGGACTCAGAGACAGTTGACCACGAATGGCCAGTGCAAAGGGAAATGCTGTTGCTAGAAAGGAGGGAGGAGGGGCTCAGTTGGAGCAACGCCATTATCAGGGCATACTGCATTCTTTTGTCTCTTGCTGTTATGAATTAATAAACTCATTAAAAAGGACTCTGCCTTGTTTCCTCTGCTTCTTGCTGCCACCAGGGGAGGGATATAATTCCCAAAGCCTTGACACAAGGCAATAGGTTCAAAATTAAACAGTAGCTATGAAGATGTTCTGACAGTTAACTTGGTCCTCCTGCCAAGCTTTTAAAGATGAGGTGGGATGAGTTCACTCATGGGACTCTCTCACTCTATGGGAAATCTACGCATATGCACTCCATCTGGGCAGGTGCTTCTCTTCCCACCTATGAAGGCAACGCCAGGTTCTCAGTTACAAGGGTTTGTGTCATGCCTTTCTGACTCCACCTCTGCCACCCCCTCCTCCTGCCCAACTCCTCCTTCTGGCTGAGCAAAGTCTTCTTCCCCTCCCTAAGGAGGGTATGTGCTCTGCAGGAGGGGTGAGATCTGCTTTCCTCTCTCTGACATTCAGAGTCACAAGCGGAGAACATCTGTTGTCCATCCGTGGGTGTCAGCCTTCCAGCAACCGTCAAACCCTGCTTCTCCTTCCTCCGCCTTTGGTTGGAGCTGGGAAAGGAGATCCTGACAGAACTGAAGAGCCCACGACAGCCACAATTTCCCCTAGGATGCCCCTCAGAATAATGCTACATGATGACTGAACCTACTTCAATCATTCTTACACACAAACACAATCGCTATCACATGAGGGGGAGAGTGGGGATGAGCCCATTGACCCCTTCCTATCCTGCACTTACACATTCAAATTGTTGGAGAATCTCGTGTCATATTTAAGTTATATCAACCTTTACTTATGCCATGATCTGCAGAGATAAAACATCTCACATGTTCAGATTCACATTCCTGTTCACACTGTTTCGTGGTAGAGACACTAGTTGGCACTGGACTTAGCCATATCTGGGTGGAGAAAGGAATCTCCTGTGGCTGTTCTGTTTTTATTTAAGAAATATAATAAAGATTTTTGTCCTAGATCCTTTACTGGTGTGCCTCCCACCAGAGCCCAGATGCGGTTAGGAATGGTGAACTCTCAATCTCAACTCTCTCCCCCAAACTAGCTACAAAGCAATTCCCCTCACCTGCTGAGCTGCAGATGAAGCAGTGTGATGCTCTGTTTTGTTCAGATGCATTTTAAGATGAAAGCTAAAGCATGCTGATGATGATGACTTCAACCCTGTCTTTATAAATATTATCACCTGTTCCATCTTTCCCAAAAGAAAATGAGTTTTCTTTTGTAAGAGCACAACTTTGGTGAGAAATAAACCAAAAGGTTCATGTTCCAATAAAACATAAATGAGGACATTTTTATTTTTAAAAAAGCTGTGCTCAGATGTGAGGAAGTGCATGGGGAAATGGGAGAGAAAAAATCATTCTCCTATAACAGTTTTCCATTAGGACAATGTAGTATGTGCTAAAGTTCAAGTGATGTATGTGTGTCTCCTTGAAGAAGATATTCTGTATATCAGATGCACCATAAATACTAGACGACGTAAGGAACCTCAGGCAAGGCAACTACATCCTTGAGTGGTCCTGAAAAATATACCGCGTGGTTGGAAAGGTGAATTATAGCAGCAAACAAATTTAATACATCTGCTTGCCTAGTGGACACCCACAATTTGCAATTTAATCATCCACGAGTTATGGTGTGTTCATAATTGAATTAGACTTTGAAATAAGGAAATATTGGTTTATAGTGAGGGTTTTATATATATATATAAAGGCACCTCTTTTGGGGTTTATAATTATCCTAAAGGAGGATGGTGAGTTGCAAACAAGGGTACAGATTCATCAAGGGAAGTCTTGGAGAGGGGCATGGTGGGAAGAAAGGCTGTGGTGCCAAGAGCTCCTTGTGTATTCAAGATGTATGAGTGCAAAAGAGAATCTGGGCCCTATTGTTAGGCAAAGTGGGGCAGCTGCTTCAGTCAACAGATGCTCAGGGATGGTGGCGAGGAGCAATGGAAACTGTACAGAGACAGTTCCAGACACACCACTTTAGGGAGGGAGTTCTGAATTTGCAGTAGTGCAAGTGGGTTGGGGAATCACCAAGAGCTCCTTTCATGGACCCACTGACTCCTCCTCTCTACCTATGACAGCAAAGGAACCATCGGGAGAGCTAATTCCATTTAACTTTATTCCCAGGGTAGTATATGGGAATGGAGGCACTTTTCCAGATATTTTTAGTTTCTGAGAGATACAGTAGCTCAAGGAGGAGAGTGCCAAGGCAGTTCACAGACAGTCTGTGTGGTTCAGATTTGCCTTTATTGCTTTGTTTTTCAGTTCAGAAAAAAGGATGGTGATGCTACTTAGGGTCACAAAAAGGACTCCATCCAAGAGTAAGACATGGCAGTTACAAGTACCCGCTTGCAAGATGTTCATTTGTCACAGGCTACAGAAATCTAACTTGCAGATTCCTAAAAAGGGCTCTTATGCGGAGCTGAAGAGATCATATAATTGCCTTACATTCTAGATTATATTATTTTTAAAAAGAACATGTCACAGCTAATGGTCCCATCATTAGTTGCCGGGTCCTTTTGCCCTCGGTATCATCGCCCAAGCATTTTATTTCACTTCTTGCTCCCTCCCCCCAATGACAATTACACCACAACAAAAACTCTCTAATAGAAAGGGGGAAAGATTAATTGGAAAGTTGATTTGAGAGTACAAATGTTCCAGACCTGACAGTTCTGTAATGTAAGCAATTAAGGCAGCATTTTTTATTTTTAAAAAATGAGTTATTGGAGCCAGCAGTATGATCAGCCATTGTTTCCATTGGTGGGGCTACATTTGATCACTGATTGCATAGAGAAGTGAGAACCATAAGAAACAGGTGAAACCCCGATGGGGAAAGAAGAAGGAATATTTCCTGTCCTGCTGAAGTAAAAAATGGCAGTCCAACATTTGAATGCCAGAAGGCATTGCCACTGAAAGCGAAAAAATGTCCCCCTTCTGCTTTCTTACTTTTGAGGTAACCAAGAGGCCATTGTGAGTGTCTTTCCTTTCATTACAGTGGTGCCTCGCCAGACGAAATTAATTCGTTCTGCGAGTTTTTTCGTCTTGCGAATTTTTCGTCTTGCAAAGCACGGTTTCCCAAAGTCTTCAAAATCACCAAAGTCTTCAAAAACCTCAAAAAAGGCTACCACACCGCGTGCTATGAGTTGCTCCTCGAAGTCACCCTGGGTATTAACGGTTTTAAGAAAAAGGAAACAAACTTGCAAGACGTTTTCATTTTTCGTCTTGCGAAGCAAGCCCATAGGGAAATTCGTCTTGCGAAGCAACTCAAAAAACGAAAAACTCTTTCGTCTTGCGAGTTTTTCGTCTTGCGAGGCATTCGTCTTGCGAGGTACCACTGTATATGAATCAATTCACCAGTGGTATGCACTCTGCAGTGTACTGGCTGCCCATACTTCAATTAAGGTCACGTGGAAGACAACTCTTCCCGTGGGGCTTTCTCAGATCATGAGGTCTGGGCAGCTAGGGAGGCTGCAGATTGCTGGAGAAATGTGTTAACAGGAAGAAAGCCACCCACTGAGCACCGTGATAAAGCAAGCTGAGTATCCCACACCCACCAAAATTATAATAAAACATATCCTAAAATGCCCTGAGCATTATCCAGAAAAATGGAAGCCTCTTTTGCAGGTGAATAAAACTTGGGAGAAACTGGAGGACAGATTTTGGTGCAGCACTTGACGACACATCTCTCCATTCCATTGGAGAAGAAATAAGAACAATGGATATTACTGAAACCTTGGAGGGTTTGTGGCACTCACCATATATCACATTGTTTTAATACTTACAACATCCTTGCAAGATGGGACGGTTTTATTATCCTTTTATTGCAGATGGAGAGCTCAGAGAAGGTGACTCACCCAAGACTACCTTTTAGGTTTGTGAAAGAGGCAAAACTCAAAGTGATGACTTGGCAGTTTTCATTTCATTTTTCAGACACTGCACTAAAAACCTGGTACCAGAATCATTGCTGAGAAGGTTCATACATGTAGAGCTAGTGTCATCACCTAGCACCCACAGTGCACTGACATAACCCATCAATGCTGGTGTCCGCTCTGTGTCTACACCCTACTATCTCCAGCTCAGGGTTCACTAGCAGAACTGGTACTCATTGGCCACAGTATCTCCAGCTAGGGTTGGCAGAGACCTCTGCCTCAACCCTACAGAACAGCTACCAGTCAGAGTAGACTAGGGTAGCCAATCAGGGATGATGGTGTCAGGAGCTCAGCCTACACTTGAGTAGGATGCTGGCAGAAACACATGCCCAAATGGCATGTTCCCTCCCTCCTGGTCATTCATTCGGGAGCTTCAAAAGCTTTCTTCTGTCCGAACATCACAGCGACCGATGCCAACAGACATCTGCACACTTAGGGATCCGCAGAGTCTTTGCAGCTTTTCGTGACAGACCTCAGCAACTCAGCATTTTGGCTAATCTATTTTATTTACATATAAACACACACGGAGCACTGCAACATGGCTCCCTCTCTCTCTAGCATCAGACAGCAAAGAGAAATGAACAAAGGACAATAGTCCCACTTCACGGAACACAGAAACACAAACATCCTGTCTTCGCCACTTCCCACTCTGTGGAGTCAAAACATACACCGTCATGTGAAAGACAACAATCCCATGACTGCAATCATGGAGCAGGAATTCTAACAGATGGGAGGCGGGGTCCAACCACATCTGGAGGGCACCATGGCTCCTCCTAGTGCAGATTATACTGAGCTCCAAAGGACCAGTTTGCTTTCCAGCAATGGATACATCATAGGATGCATATGGTTCTCTCCCTGTCCTATTTGGCAATGGCAGGGATTGAACCTAGGATCTTCTGCATGCCAAGCAGATAGATGCTCTTCCACTGAGTCACAGCCCTTCCTCATCATCCACTAGTCTTAACTTCACGAGAGAATGTAAGAAAGAAAGATGCCTCTTTCATCATTTGGACAGGACCCAAACTCCACCCACAAGAGGAATGGCAAGAAAGATAAGACCTTTGAGGGGGGGAGGGGACTACAGCCTTTTCCAGAGAGAAGGAATAAAAGAAAACAGATTGCATTTCTGGTACAAGAAACCCAGCCACGCTGGATGAAAGCTTCAAAATAACTGAAACAAAGAAGAGTAAATAAACTCGGAATGATTTATCTCGAGGGGATAATACAGTAACTGCTGAATAATTACAGGCAGCAATCTTTATTAGTATGCAAAGTAGCTCGATTGGGTGTGTTCCCATGCTGCTTGGAGAACAAAAAGGCAAGAAGCGGGACACATTATAATAAATCACACACACCAAATTCCCAGCTTGTTGCAGCAAACATCTTTACTCCGGGGGCACTGGGAGTGCAGCAGTTCTTCTTGAGATTAAAAAAAGAAAGAAAGGGCTGTTTAATTTATATTTTCCAGTGATGCATTGTGCTTTCAGAATTCATTCAACTGAAAGAAGTACAAAAGTTTCACTTTACAAAAGTGTATACACACACAGGGGTGGGGGATTACAGAATTTGCCAGAGATCTGTTTCTAAAACAAACAATGTTATTTTCCTCTTGAGGTTCTGTGTGTGTATATGTGTGTGTGTGTGTGTGTGTGTGTGTGTGTGTGTGTGTGTGTGTGTGAGAGAGAGAGAGAGAGAGAGAGAGAAGAATAGGCTTTCCATTTCAAATGAGTGGTGAGCTATTTTCTTTTTGACAAATAACCAAAAGAGAGCACAAATCTTCAGAACACAGGAACCTGCAATGAATTGAACCTGCTCTGCTCACTGAACTAAGATTGTAGTCCTCATAGTTATTAATTAAGGGCTAACTTAAACGGTAACACAGAAAGCTATATTATACCAAGTCAGACCATTTGTCCATCTAGTTTTGTAACAGCGACATTGACTGGCTGCAGTTCTCCAGAGTTTCCAGCCATAGACACTTCCCTGCCCTGGAGATGGTGGGGTTTGAATCTGGGAGCTTCTGCATGCAAAACAGATGATCTACCATAGAGCTACAGCCCTTTATTTTGAGTAATCAAGAGAGCAACAACCATCTCCAGCAGTCATATATGTACAGTGGTACCTCGGGTTAAGTACTTAATTCGTTCCGGAGGTCCATTCTTAGCCTGAAACTGTTCTTAACCTGAAGCACCACTTTAGCTAATGGGGCCTCCTGCTGCTGCCGCACCGCCGGAGCCCAATTTCTGTTCTTATCCTGAAGCAAAGTTCTTAACCTGAAGCACTATTTCTAGGTTAGCGGAGTCTGTAACCTGAAGCGTATGCAACCCGAGGTACCACTGTACTTGATCTCTCCCCCCACCACACAGACACATCGGAGCAGTCTTCTTTTCCTGAGTTGTCAGAAGGAAAGCCACATATTCTAGTTCCAGTCCTTTTTCTTCTTTTCTTCTTTCCTTTCTGAAATCATTTTCATAATTCTCAGATAAAATCCTACTAGTAAATAATGCTATAAAGCAGAAATGGGCAACTGGTCACCTGTGTGCCAGATCTGGCCCCTGAAGCAATTTCCCTGGCCCTTGATAGACCTTTCCAATTCTAATCTAGGCCCATTAATTTTTTTTGTTGTTCATTGCTGGGCAGCTGTGACTAATGAGGACTGGGTAATGAAAATATCCCCAACCTCACTCCCGTCCAGGTGTAACTGGCAGGATCGGAGAGTGAGTCATATGGAAGGGAAACAATTGTGTGGTTTCTGATATTAAAATCAGTTATGGATGACTCCTGTCACAAATGACCCAAAATCAGCTGTTATATCCTTCTCCCTAGTTAAACTAGCAGCTGTTTGGACCCAACTTCATGTCATACAGAGCAACTTTTGCACCTTGATTAAGGTAGGATCTCTGTATTCAGTGGTTCTCAGATACGCCGGCCCCAGCAAGAGGCTTCCATCTCTGAAGGACTGTAGACAATCAACACAAGAACATGGCTTCTATTGAGTCAGGTCACATCCACACCATACATTTAAAAAACATTTATACCATTTGAACAGTCATGACTTCCCCCCAAAGAATCCTGGGAATTGTAGTCTATCCTCACAGAGCTATAATTCCTAGCACCCTTAACAAACTGGTTCCCAGGGTTCTTTGGTGAGAAGTCATGACAGTTACATGAGTGCTTTAAGTGTATGAAGTTTACAATGTTACCTCAGTATATGGCAGCTTCCTATGTTCCGAAGTAAAGAATTTATATGTGCTTTAAATGCATGGTGTTGTCCCATCTCAGTCAGAATTGTTTACAGTGACTGGGAACAGATCTCCAGAGTTCTAGCAATTTCCCAATTACACCTGAATGTGCTCTATTGTTGTTTCATTTTAGGTACTCATTGCCCATTTGACTGCGGTGTTCATTCATGACTCTCCGCCGCATTACTGGTGCCCACCATGCACATTAATAAAACATTGCAAAAGGTGGTCTGAAACATTTGAACCAAATAGAGACATATGCAGGCCTCTGTCACTGACCAAGGCACCAAGTCCACTGGAAGCTGCAAGCCTGCCTTCCAGGAAGAAAAACTGTCACAAGGGATACCAGTTAAGCCAATAAGGAAGCAGCTGTTCTAGCGCTTGTTTTCCTCTTCCCTCCGCATTCATTTTTCCTTTTGTATCACATCTATTTGATTGCAAGCTTGTAGGCAGGGACAAGTCATTGTTTGCGGCCATCACTGCACATTGTAGGGTTGTATTCCGTAGTTTAACTATGTGCTGGGCTACACTGAAGCTTCCAACATTCAACTTCATTGAATGACTCTGTGTTCTTGTATTTTGAGAGAAGGATGAAAGTCTCTTTTTACCCACTTTCTTCACACTGTGCATAATTTTATATGCCTCTGTTAAGGCTTCCCAATCTCCCTTGCTCACCCTTTCTTTCTACATGTGATTTTTGACACCCCCACCCCCACCCAAAGAGAAAGGCGGGATATTGACTGCATTCCTGACGCCTGACGGCTGTTTCTACTCACTGACAAAAAACACAGCGATGGGAGAGCCCGGCACAGTCACCTGCACATCCCACCCTAGCAGCCCTACTGGCCTTGAGGCCCATGAGTCTTGTTAGAACTGGGAAGACGAGGAGAGAGACACCAGCTCTGGCTTATTGACTGACTCTCACTATCTATGGAGCGGTATTGTAGGTTGGAGCCAGCTGGCTGCCCCAAAGGTATAGACACTGGAGGGACACTGCTTTGATGTCTCTATGGGGGCAAATGGACCACCCTCTCCTTTTTTTATTTTTCCTGTGAAGATACTTTATGTTTAATACATCTGAAAAATGCATATACAAAGAACTATGGCATGGAATAAAGCATTAGCTCAACATGAATGAGACGACAACAATTAGAGTCTGGGGAGATTGAGAAGTCAATGTATAGTTCTAGAAGAGGTCACTATGATCTCTGTAGGCAAATACCCCCACCTGGTGTGTTATAATGTGGATAATGGAGCTGGCAGTTTTTGCTGCATTAACTTACTTATAATTCACAGTCTTCGAATTTGTTGGCACAGAGTGGGGCTGTCTTTGGGTGAGATATGGAGGAAGGGAATAATTAGGATGCCCCTGGTAATAAATGGAATGGGAATTGTTGCAATGGCCCTTGGACTGTTTTAGTTGGATAGATGTCCTATTCTCTTCATCTACTTATTTGGAAATTCCAGTTGTTGCTCTTACTGTTGCTTAGTTTTGTGCATTTACGATGGAGCTGCTAATTTGCTGGTTATTAACTGGGCTTGTTTTTATGGATCCTGTCATTTTTTGAATACTATTATCCCCACACCACCCCCACACTTTTATTAGTATTTTATTTCATTGTTCCTAACTCTGGGACTGAAATATTCAGTGAAGAGTGGGATATAAATACTTAGAAATAAAATAAATACAAAAAATAAATAAAATTTCCTAAGAGCCACTGTGGGCAGGGGGGTTAAGATCAAACTGCCAGTGCAAGATATAAATATAGACCTCACATGCCAAGTTTAGAAGTTGGATTTATGAATTTTCATAAGCTTTCAGACAGAAATTCTACGTTAAACCCTCTGGGATTGGCACTGTAATGGAGAGCAGTCCACTGCTGAAGGCAACACGACATTTTGATTTAAAATTGAATTTTCAACATAAGCAGCAATCCAGCCAGCCAAATCATAGCTTAATGCTCCTCTGATCATTCCCGCTGTAGTTACAGGAAGCACGGAACTGAAAAATCCTTTGTGACTTGCAGGCTTTCAGATTACGAAAGCAAGCCCACTGACAGACACATCAATCCTCATTTGAGTATGATTCTTCAAGGAACCTCCATTTGACTTAAAGAATTCCCCCTTTAAACACCTGACTGCCACTCACTGGGAAAGCAAGAGCAAATTGGCAGATCTCAGGGTAAATTACAACTCCATGAACAAGAACCACAAGCAAAACGTTGGTTAATTAGTAGAAACACACATGGCGGGGAGAATCTCAAGGTGATTGTCAACACTGATGTAATTATACACATGCTCCAACTGTCCTTGGTAAATTACTGCTCATATTTTGCCTTTTGGGGGGGACGGGTGGCACATTTTAAAATAAACATGTTAGTCTTTAAGATGCCACAGGACTCTTTGTTGTTGTTTTGCTGCAACAGAATAGCATAGCCCCACCTCTGAAAATAATTTTAAATCTCTTTTTTCTGCGAGCATCTAAAACCAGAGTGTGCATTTCCTTTAGAACAACCTTCCCTGGGCCACAGGCCAGTGAAGAGCAAGGCCAGAGGTAAGAGTGGGTGGAGCAATGAATGTAGCTCTTATCTTTGTACAGTAGGCTAGTTTCTATGCACACTGTATACCCCTCTTCATCCAGAGGCATGATGAGAGTTCAAGGATGTATTCCATCCAGGCAAAAACAGTGAAGGAGGA